TAGTGGCAAGAAAAGCATCCCAGCCCCGATATAGTTCACATCCAATCAGGGAGGCAGAGTACAGACAGAATAAAGAATGCGCTACCCTGCATCAGCCAGATGTGGAGGAGAAACTGCAGGCAGGTGTCTTGGTAAGAGCCTGTTGGGTTCTTGGCAACAGTGGGCATGTAGAGGCTGAGTCCACCTTCGGCCTGTATGCTAGTGCAGACTCTCCCCAGATGGCAGTTAGGAAAGTAACAGTTAAATTCACATACAACAGAAACTGCAAAACTACATAACATACACGCTGCCATCTCCTTTGAACATTTCCTGGCCTCCTCTTTAACTTTCTCTTGGCATTGATTGCAGCTTGGTGGATGACTTGTAAATTAATGGACTGTTTGATTTATTTTCTATTCTCCAGGCAAATTATTTCTGTTTTGACTCAATTTTAGTCTTTTAAAATTCTAGGATTTTTGAGTAATTATGTGATATCAAAGTATTTGAAGGTCCCACCATTTGCCTGCAAATTTCATGATTTCCTCCTTTTTGATTGCTGAGTAGTATTCCACTGTATAAAAATACCACAATTTCTGTACCCATTCCTCCGTTGATGGACATCTGGGTTGTTTCCAGGTTCTGGCTATTACAAATAAAGCTGCTATAAACATGGTTGAGCAAATATCCCTTTTGTGTACTTGAGCAAACTTTGGGTATATACCTAGCAGTGGTATAGCTGGGTCTTGAGGAAGCACTATTCCTAATTGTCTTAGAAAGCGCCAGATAGATTTCCAGAGTGGCTGTACCAGTTTACATTCCCACCATCAGTGGAGGAGGGACAACCTCTCCAGCATGTGTTGTCCCTTGAGTTTTTCATTTTGGCCATTCTGATGGGTGTAAGGTGATATCTCAGGGTCGTTTTGATTTGCATTTCCCTGATGGCTAATGAGGATGAGCATTTCTTTAAGTGTTTCTCTGCCATTCGATATTCCTCTGTTGAGAATTCTCTGTTTAACTCTGTTCCCCATTTTTTAATTGGATTACTTGGTTTGCTGCTTTTCAGCTTCTTTAGTTCTTTGTATATACTCGATATTAGTCCTCTGTCAGATAAAGGGTCATCCTGAGTGAAATATCCCAGAAGGAGAAAGACAAACACGGTATATACTCACTTATATAGACCTATAAGATATGATAAACATAATGAAATCTATACACCTAAAAAAGATAATCAAGAGAGCGGACATGGGGTAAGATTATCAATCCTCGTTTTGAAAGACAGATGGGATGCGCATTGAACATTGACAGGAGTCTACTGAGCGCATTTGAAAGACTCTAACTAGCAGTGTTTTCAAAGCAAAGACTCATGACCAAACCTTTGGCAGAGTACAGGGAATCATAAGAAAGAAGGGGAGTTAGTCTGATGAGGAAAGGATAGGAACTCCACAAGGACCAAATATATCTGGGCACAGGGTCTTTTCTGAGACTGACATGCAACCAAGGACCATGTATGAATGTAACCTGGAACCTCTGCTCAGATGTAGCCTGTGGTAGCTCAGTAACCAATTGGTTTCCCATAGTGAGGGGAACAAGGACTGTTTCTAACAGGAACTCAATGACTGGCTCTTTGGCCTCCCCACCTCCCAAGGGAGGAGCAGTCCTGTTAGGCCACAGAGGAGAGCTTTGCAGCCAGTCCTGAAGATACCTGATAAAACAGGATCAGATGAATGGGGAGGAGGTCCCCCCTATCTGGACTCGGCAAGGGGCACCGTGGAGATGGGGGAGGGAGGGAGGGACTGAGAGGGAATGAGGGAGCGGGATACGGCTGGGATACAGAGTTAATAAAATATAACTGATAAGAAAAAAATAAAATTCAAAAAAAAATAAGTATTTGAAGGTAAAATGTGGCAGTTCAAGTGTACCTTGGGTACAGTAGATTTCAGAGCCGGGGTGATGGACCAGGTGGCCTCTGGGGACACATTAACAGTGTGAGTTCTCATGACCCCCAACCCTGCCCCACCTCCCGAATCACGTGTGTGGAGAAGGGGCACAGCCCGTGTTTTTTAACATACTGCTATTTGAGAGCTGGCTCTCGTGATTATCCAAGGTTAGATGTGTAAGTTAGATCTGCACCAAACACCAACAAAGGTTAAGCCTTGAGACCTCATAGCTGTGTTCTAATTGTGTGTGAAGAGATCCTAAAGCAAAAAGTAAATTTTTTAAATCTGCAAATCAAAAGACTAGAATCTAAATAACTTGTCTCCAAATAACTAGCAGGCGTTTTCCACCCTTCTCTCTCCCCACCTCGCTGTCTAAAGCGTGTCTAAAGCTGCCGTCCTCCTGCAGCAGCTCCTCTGCCAGGGCTGCCTCCCTGATGTGCATTCTACCTCGGTGCTCCTCAGCGCGCTCCTCCGCCTTTGGAAGCCTTGATCATCTCTCTGCAGCAGAGACCTGCTGTTGATTTTCTTACTGATTTAATATGCCACATTTAGGAAACAGTTTTACATTCCCCCTTTCTTTAAGTTTCATTTTTTCTTTTTAAATTATGTATGTGGGGGCAGGGTATGTCCTGATAGCCCTCAGAGGCAGGAGGAGGACATTAACTCTCCTGGCGTAACAGGTTGTGGTTTGTCAATGGGAACCAAACTCTGGTCCTCTGCAAGGGCATCACATGCTCTTCACCACTGAGCATCTCTCCAGCCCCTCTTAACCTTAGAAGAAACCAGCTGGGATGCATTGCTTTTAGTTCATGTTGCCCTTGGTTTTGTAGGGGTTTCATGTAGGGGTTTCAAAGTTTGGGCCTATGTCTTCAGTATTTGTTATAAAAAATAGAGAAGCTGTTCTTCCTGTTTTGAAGTAATAAGACTGCATTCATGTAGGAAGCTCTCCAAGTGGATGCTTCCCCAGGGCCTTTCCAGCGGTGATAGCTGATCCTTGAATGCCGACAGGACTCCCCGATTCAGATTGTTGACTTTTGCTTCTCTGGCATTCCGATGGCAAGAGGCAGCATGAACCCTGCATAGATAAAATAACTAGACCATCACTGACACCCACACATCTCACTCTGATGTCACCTCAGACTCAGTTTCCTTCTTTCTGGATGTAACAAGAACAGGACCATGCCCTCTGTGTCCTTCTCTGTAGTGTCTTTTCCATTAACGCCACAGTGCTGTGGTCTGTCCCTCTGTTCCAGGCCACCTCAGCTTGTGTCCTTTGCCGGTCCCTATTCGGGTTGTCTGTGGTCTGAGGATATTACAGACTCTTGAGCATGCCTTAGCTACATGTGTGTGCATAACTTGGTAGTAGGTAGGAAAGTGTTATATATGGAGAATGTTTGTTCAGCCTCAGTACAGGCTGTGACCTAGTTGACTAGAAAGGTTGCAGTGGGAACATATTACCAGCAGACTGTTAGAATTGTAGCTGTATCACATCCTCTCTGGCATGAGCTGTGTTAACTTAGCATTCTGGTAGATGTATAATATCTTTGTGGTTTAATTGGCATTTTTTCTGATATTTGGTAATGTTTCCGGGTCTCCTAGTTAATTGCTCTTTTGAAATTACTCGTTAAATCATTTCCCGTTTTCTTTGTTCACTCAGTTGTTGTGATTTTTTTAGGAGTTTAGTTTATGTATTGAATAGCGTCATGTTGTTGCATGTGTCCTTACGTGTCTTTGGTTGGATGGTTCTTTTTTGTCCTGTTTTTGTTTTGTTTTTTTTTTTTTTTTTTTTTTTTGAGATAGGGTTTCTTTGTGTATCTCTGGCTCTCCTTGAACTTGTGATTGTAGATCAGGCTGTCCTTGACCTTCAACTCCAGAGATCTATCTGCCTTTGCATCCCAAGTGCTGGGATTAAAGATGTGCAGCACCACCAGCCGGCTTGTGTGGGTATTTCTTAACTTTAATGGGCTTTTGTATTTTCACAATCTCATTTAAGAGACACTATGCATTTGTTATAAAAATGTTCTTCCATATCGTGGCTCAGAATCTGTAGATCTCTGTTTTAATATACAATCCAGGTATGATGCCTGATTTTATGTAAGGTTTAAGGCCAGGGTGTCAAGATTTGTTTTCACAGATATACATTGTCTCAGATAGTCGGATATGGGTTTTGTTTCTGCTGTAAAACTTGAAGTATTATGATAGTTTCAGAGTTGCAGAAAAGTTGTCAAGATTGCGTTCCCGTATACCCCACGCTCAGTTTCTTCTTAGTCATCATCTCCCATTGATGAATGGTACCTTTGTCATAGCTGCACACCAACACTGATACCTTGATATTTGTTCAGTTAGGACGATTAGTTTTTGACAAATAAAAGTACCACTGAGGAATGCAGCTGTATGTCTTTTGTAGGAGTAATTGACCTTAGATTCTCCTAAGCAGAGCTCAGCAGAGCTCGTAGTGTGGACATGGGCCCTGAGGGCCCTCCAGGAGGGGAGTATTGGGATTCCTGTGGGGGGGGGGGTAGTTGATATAAGCTCTCCTTCCCAGCCTTGAAAAGCCTGCTTTTTTCAGTCTTAAAACTTGTCTGATGATGAGCAGCTTTTTAAAGTTAGTATGAATGCTAGATGCTACAGAGATACAGGCCTCTGCATGCCCTTGGCCTTGGGTGTCAAGGGGAGCTGTGCCCCTCACTTGATGTTTCTCTGGTCCTTATCCGCATCTCCGAATCCCCATGACCCCCAGGTCTGACGGGCTCATAGATTCACACTGAGACTTCTGCTACTTCTGTCCTGTCTCTTGCCCCTCCTGGACTTCAGTGGGGCCAGTGTGCCTGAAAGTGCCCCTGTCTTAACTGCTTTTACTTTTAACTTAAAGTGCAGGCCAAGCCCCACTGACCATTTGTCACTTTGAGAGCAGACATTTAAATTACAGGGAGAGAACCGGAAGGCCAGCTAGCTGTCCCTTTTAATCATTTCTTCAAAATTCATTTTTCTTTAGCCTGGCCTTCACCCCCACCTTGGACACCACTTCCGCAGCTGACAAGGCATGTATATTGCAGTCACTGTTTCTGTCCTGCCTTTCCACAGCACCATGAGCTCCCGACACTCTGCCAGCCCAGTGGTGTTCTCCAGTGCCAGAAGTTCACCAAAAGAGGAGCTTCACCCCACCTCATCCTCCCAGCTCGTGCCCTCCTTCTCCTCCTCTTCCTCATCCTCCTCTGGGCCTAGGACTTTCTACCCCCGCCAGGGTGCCACTAGCAAGTACCTGATTGGATGGAAAAAGCCAGAAGGAACCATCAACTCCGTGGGATTTATGGATACAAGAAAGTAAGAGATCTTTTGGGTAGTGGTGGGTTTTCTCTGCACAGAAAGAACTAGTCTTACAGCCGATGATGCTAGGCTGGAGGGATTGGTTTAATGGAGGGATTTTCTTTTCTTTTTTTTTTTTTAAATGAAAAAAATTTATATAATATATTCTGATCACAGTTCTCCCCTCCTCTTATGAGATTTTATTTGCTAAGTAAATTTTTTCTTTAAATTATTTCTCCACTTCATTGCTTGAGTAAGAGGAACTGTAAACATTTTGATCTGAGATCTTTAGCTGTCCTAGGAAAGAGATGCTTGGGGTAACTGAGCATCCAGTGTTCTGTTAGATACAGCCTTTCTATAGACTGCCTCTTAACTAGACTAGTAGGGCCAGGAGAATATTAGAAAATGACTAAATATCCCAAGGATTAAGGACTTTTCCATGTAACATTCCTGTCATTTTGCTACCATTGTATAAAGGTGGCACTGGAGAACTGTCTCTGATCTGTCAAGTCTGCTCCTGGTGTTGGCCAAACAGGGCAAACAGTTTTCTGTAGAGGGTGATTTACTCCTCTATCTTGTGTTTCACATTGGTTCTGCTGATCTGACAAGCTCTGACCTTTGTAGATTCTGATGTGACTAGCAATCGACCTTTGTCTCTCATCCTTCACAGCCTCCGTGAGCCAACCCTATTTACTCCATTTCCACCCTCTCTCCCCAGACGTCATCAGAGTGATGGTAATGAGATGGCGCACACGAGGCTTCGAGCCTCAACCAGGGACCTGCGAGCATCCCCAAAGCCAACCTCTAAGTCCACCATTGAGGAGGATCTAAAGAAACTCATCGACCTTGAGAGCCCAACTCCCGAATCACAGAAGAATTTCAAGGTAGAGGGCAGGCTGGGGAGAAGGCAGAGAAAAGCCAGGCATGATAGGACCTTGGGGTGTTGGTGTTGGGGACTCCTCTTCCTCAGTGTTGGGTGCTCTGTCCCTGCAGCCACATCTCTTTAGTGTCCTGTTAACCTGCCCTTCCCAGGCCTCTTTTCTAGTGTGCCCTATTCTGAGAGTATGACTCCTTGGTCCGCACTTAAATGGCGTCACTTCCGAGGCTCTGTAAAGATACCTTCCTTGTCAGCTAGAGTGTTTTCCGTATGATCTCCTGTCTACCTGCTTTCTGCAAAGTCCTTTTCTCACAAGTGTCCGCAGTGTGCCCGCTGGTCTCCATGTCCACACTCTGCTGACTATAAGTAATACACTCTTCACACGTCAAGCAAGCCAACTGCCTGTGGCCAAAGTCATGGGCATATGCCTTCCTTAGAGCCAAGTCTTCCTCTCCACCCATCTCAGATGCTTGCTCAGCATTTGTCAGTGGCCAGCCTGCTGCTGGATTGCTTGGCAGGTGTTTGTGCCTGCCTCATTGCAGGGCCTGGAAAGCTTCTGAAGGCCCTATGCATCTGTGTTCTCAGATGTGAAGGCCCGAGGAAGTCCCTCTCTCCCAGAGTGAGGTGCTCTGGGCAGTCCCAGGAGAGAGGAAGCCACTCCAGGAAGGCCCTGGCAGTGAACTCTGAGGGTTTATCTCCTTAAACTTCTGAGCTTAATGATGTTCAGGGTAACTTGAAAGTGTGTTTCATAATACCAAGAAAGTGTTGGAAAAGAAAGCTAGAAAATCCTTCGCACACCCAGGCTCTACTGTGGTCAGAGTGAGTGTGTACCTGAACAGCCTCATGTGCCCTCATCTCCAAGGTTTTCTGTGCTTGTGTGTGCACCTGCACCACCCACATAGATCAGCTAGACCCCCTAAACTGAAAAAAATGGCCTTAATAGGAATTACATGTATTCCGAGGGCCACTCTGGAGTTCTGCTGAGAAATAAATGGCTTATTAACATGATTTATGTGACTAAATGATTTATGGATGTAGCCATTCCTGACTTCTGTCATTTCTGTTTCGGAAGCCAGCACTTAGCAGTTCTGAATCATCATCCAGGGAACAAATGGTTCCCTTAGCAACCTTGAGGAAGCTGGTGCTTGAAACTTATCCATTAAAAACCCAGGTGACATATGAAAACTCTGAAGACCCAGTTTCAGTATAAAAATTATTGACATGTACTCTTTGAGGCTTGAGGACAGTAAGACTTGACCTGGAAGGAATCTTTCCTCTGAATCCTGCGTGAACATTGCTTTAGCTTGGGGGTGGTGTGCTCAGAGCTTCCATTCCTTGGATTTACTTGTGTCGTGGGAATAATTGAAGGCAAATGTCTGTCTGCCCTTATTCCAGGCCTTGGCTCTTATTTCTGAAACAAGTTACTGTAGCATTGCTACTTCAGTCAGGGTCTGCTCTCTCTGTGTTGTGACCCTGTTGATAGGAGTCCCCCTGCAAGGACGGTGTGCTCCTGCTGGCTCCGACCCTTGCAGCAGAGGGCAGCGTGCTGGTTTTCCTCTCCAGTCCACCCTTCTCGAGCTGGTTTTGTTTTAGATGAGTTCAGCCAAGTAGCTCTGGGGCGACCCCTGGTAGACTTCCAAATGATTGTGCCTCTATGATGTAAGGGAGGCTAGCACTGCCTTGAGAAGCCTCCCAGGCCAGACCTGGCTCAACGCTTCAGGCCAGCAGCAAGCTTCAGGAAGAGGCCTAGGGCTTGGAGCTCACTCCCTTGCCACTATGGGCTTCCCATCCTATGAGCTGTCAGTCCCACTTTTCTCCCAGTGGAGCCTGATTAGTTAGTGCTCTGCCTTGAGAATGCTGATGGAGCTGTAGCACTCACCTCACTGGCAGAGCGGGATTGCTGTGTTTGCTCCAGGCAGTGTACTGTCCAGTCAGGTAGACCAGAGCAAGGGACGCCATGTGGTACTAGTGTGTAGGGAAAGCTACTAGTTTACTGTGAGTGCTGGTGACTCCATGTCATGACAGTCCAGGCAGTCGGGAATGGTCAGAAGAGGGACCATCAGCCTGCAGGACACTGTCCCTTAAAAGGGGCAGCTTTGGGGTGGAGGAGGTCTGATCCACTGCTGGCAGGAGTAGAGGCGGAATAAGAAGCTACCTCTGCTGAGCTGTGGTCAAATTGGGGCATCAGTGGTCTCCAAGTGGTTCAATGGTCTTGAAGTTCAGAAGCCTCCCCACCTGTTTATTCAAGTAAAATCCACAAAAGCTCACATTGTGCAGCTGAACCTCTGTGGGGGAGAAATGGGCTGACATGGGCTCGTGGTTTCCACCTGACCCTTTCCCCATCAGTGAGCTCTGTAAGACACCCTTTGGGGGCCTTGGGGCACACTTTGAGGACCCTTGTACCTGTCTGTGCTCTCTGGAACCCGGGGCTGACACGCAGCTGTGGGCTGCGCTCCCCAGGCTGGCAGCACCGCTTAGTAGCCCGAGGGCATCCACACAGCAGCATTTTGGTTGTATGCCTCTAAGCCCAAGAAGTAGAGGTGAAGGTTTTGGACAAGACTAGGTGCTGCTGGGTCTTAAGGGGTACAGAGTGCCCAACAAGGTGGCATCCTTCCTTGCCTGCCCTGCTTCTCTGTGGCTCACGATTCCCCACAGCAAACAACTTATGCTGTCCCGAGGTTCCCAAAGAGGCAAAATAGGAATTGGTTTAGAGTTCCTCTCCTGTAAAACACTCAGGCTAGAGATGCTCATTGGAAATTAAAAATTTCTTCTAAAGTCTGGAGAGCTAGAAAAGATACAGCAGACATGCTGACACTGGGTCTGGCTGGCAGGAGCCTTGTCTGAAAACAAAAGAGAGGTGATTCAATTTTAGCAAAACAATGTTAGAAACCCATTAATGTCCACTCCTTCATAAAATAGTGAAAGAAGGGCTGGAGAGATGGCTCAGAGGTTAAGAGCACTGGCTGATTTTTTTTAAAGGTCCTAAGTTCAATTCCCAGCAACCATGTGGTGGCTCATAGCCATCTATGATGAGATCTGGTGCCCCCTTCTGGTGTGCAGGCACATATGCAGACAGAATACTGTATAAATAATAAATATAAATCTTTAAAAAAAAAATAACCAGTCTCTTTAAAAAAAAAAAAAGAAGAAGAAGAAGAAGAAGAAGAAGAAGAAACAGCCACTCCCTTACCCAGCGCTATTCCTAGACCAGCTGGTACGTACGTACCTTGGTTTTAACTCATGATTTTAAAAAACGCGCGCGCGCGCGTGTGTGTGTGTGTGTGTGTGTGTGTGTGTGTGTGTGTGTGTGTGTTATTGGTCTGGGTATATAGTCTGTGCGTGGGTTGACTCTGCATGTGTGTATGAGAGAGTGTTACTGCCGCGGTGCATACACCTTGAGTCTCTCGTTTACTGCTGGGTAACATCCTCCAGGCTAACTGGCCCTCAGTCTCCTAGCCTCCGCCTCCCATCTTAGCAGGCAAGTGTGTTTTAGTTAGTGTTCCATCCTGTAAAGAGACCAAGGCAACTCTTACAAAAGGAAGCATTTAATTGGGGCTTGCTTACAGTTTCAGAGGTTTAGTCCCTTTTCATGGCAAGAAGCATGGTGGCACACAGGCAGACATGGTGCTGGAGAAGGACCTGAGAGCCATTTCCTGATCCACTGGCTGAGAGAGATTCTGCTCTTAGAATGGGCTTTTGAAACCTCAAAGCCCACCCCCAGTGGCACACTTTCTCAAACAAAGCCACGCCTCCTAATCCTTTTTAACAGTGCCACTCCCTGACGACGAAGCATCCAAAACTATGAGGTGGTGGGGACATTCCTGTTCAAACCTCCACAAAATACATGCAGACACATGTCACCTCCTCCAGTTTGTAAGAGACCCAAGCTTGGGTTGCCTGGCTTTCCTGAGAAGTGTGTTTACCTGCTGAGTCACCTCCCTGACCCCTCCTCAGTTTTTAAGTGAACAAGGTTGTTAGTGCAGTGGTTACGCCTTAGTCTTATTTACAGTGTGTCTGATTAATAGTTTGCGAAGCCCTAGAGGGTGGGCTGTTGGCTTAATTGTTTGGGTTGTTGAATGAAAATAAACCAAGCCAGTGCGCACAGGTAAGCTGGAGGTCGGCTTTGTTTCTGGGTCTGTGATTCCAGCCACCATTGCTAAGTCATTCCGTCTTTGCTCTCTCAGATAGCTGTGGAAAGGCCCTTGGTGACTTTCTGCCAGCAGTGACTCAAATGTCCTTTGCCCCATGCTGTCCCTGTCAAGGTGGACAGTGACCTGCAAGAAACCGATGAGGGATGAGTTGATTCGGGTCCTTAGCTGGCCTCCAGTTTGCTGGGCATGGGAACACTGTGCCTGTTGGTTCTCAGTAAGAGGGATCTTCAAGAGTTTCACTGTTTACAGAAAAACCACCAGTGAAACACAGCGGTCGGAGATTCATCTCTGGAACTGTTTACCGTTTATGTATAAAACATTTGTCATTTGTAAAGCCAGTTCTTGATAATCCCATGGATAGGAAGGCTTAAAGCTCTAGGTAGCACGATGGGCATGCTTTAGTCTCAACAATAGGAGGCAGAAACATCAGTCTAAGCTGAAGAGAGCTTTGTCTCAACAAAGAAAAAATGTACGTCTACAGAAGCTGATCTCCTTGGGTTGCAGGTGGTAAAAGGACTTGCCCTGCGAGCCTGAGGACTGCAGCTCAATCCCCATCTAAACGGAAGAGAACTGAGGCCATGGGGTTGCCCTTTGACCTCCACTCACTTGCCAGTGGCACATTTGGCCATACACATACATCACACAATAACATTTTTAAAATGATTATCTTCAAAACTAATGAAACCCATCTGCTTGAGAGGCTGTATTAGAGCTTGTTCTTCAGCTACTTGTGGCGAGAGCCAGCATGTGTGTTCATGTTGCTGCTGTGTTTTAATTGATGTATATTAGCAGTCTGTCTGTCTGTGCACCGCATACATGCCGAGGCCACAAGAGGGTGCTGGCTCCCTGGAACTAGAGTTACAGATGTTTGTGAGCCACCCTGTGGGTGCTGGGAATTGACCCCTGAGCCAGTGCTCTTAACTGCGGCCCTGAGTGCCTGTGCCTTGATGATCATCTCCTGGTTGCCCGGCAGTTCCACTGCCTGTCATCAGGAGAGCTTCTGCGGCCCCAGGTCCCTGTTTCTCGGCTGTGCTGTGTTCCCAGGAGCCTCATGTTCATCTTCCAGCCTCCTGGCAGGTGCCATGGTGTCAGCCAGCATTTTGCTGAGGGTTATGGTGATCCAGGCGGGAGCTTTACTCACATTTATGGCCGAAGACTCCCCTGGGAGATGGCGTGATCTGGCCAAAGACACGGGGTTCAAATAAAGTTCATGTTTAAGAAGAAGGATGCATACATTTAGTTAGGCAGGTGGCTGTTTTGAGTGCCAAGGCAGCCAGGGTTACATAGTAAGACACGGCCTCCCAACTCAAAAACAAACAAAAAATCATTTATCTCGTTATTCAGTACCACATAACATGGATAAGTCATGAGTCAGTGTCATCCTGAACACAGGCACAATTTCTCCCTCCCTGGCATAGAGGACTGATGGGGCACGTCGAGGCAGCCCGTCACTGCTTCACCCACCCAGCCTTGGTCTCATTCTGTGACCTCACCCCTGACTCCAGCCTGTCTTGTTTTCCAGTTCCACGCACTGTCCTCCCCGCAATCCCCGTTTCCCTCCACCCCGACCTCCCGGCGGGCTCTGCACAGGACTCTGTCAGACGAGAGCATTTATAGCAGCCAGAGGGAGCACTTCTTCACCTCCAGGGCTTCGCTTCTGGACCAAGCCCTGCCCAATGATGTCCTCTTCAGCAGCACCTACCCATCTCTTCCCAAGTCGCTTCCACTGAGGAGGCCATCCTACACCTTGGGAATGAAGTCGTTGCATGGTAAGTGTGCCTGCAGCTGCAGCTGGGCAGTCTTACGGATGGCCCAAGGCCCAGCGTGGCAGCCAGCCACTCATTTTCTTGCAGGATGGTTTGGAGGAATTCCTATCTCTACTCCATCCTTCAGTCCCTCTCTCCCGTCGATAGTCACAGACCGCTGGTCACCTCAGCATAGGTCAGCATAGGTTGCTAGACCTCATCTGAGACCCGCTGAATTGGCTGTAAGAACAATCTGGGAATCGGTTTCTTGTCAGATGTCCTAGCTCGTGGAATGGCACTGGGCAAACACGAGCCTAGTAATGTCATAGAGATATGTGCCCTGCTTCCCTCAGCCAGCATAAGATCCCAGACCAACCTGAAGTTGCGCTCTCATTCCCGGCCTGTGAGAATATTGCCCTCACTGTCTGCCACACTCATTCATTTACTGGTCCAGCCAGTCAGCGGGGGATCTCCCAGGAAGAGATCTTGCTTTGTGGCCTAACCAGATCCCGGCTCTACTAGCAGCCATATTCTGGGACTTTAGACTTAAATGTTTTTCTTTCTTCTGTCTGCCTGAATCCGCTCGAGGGCTCACCTGTTGGCCATGTCTGAGTCCAGCAGACATACAGCACAGGACCTCCTGTCCTGGTCCTTCGCCGTACACACCATTATAACCAGATTTCACTCTTGACTCCCCTTCTGAGAAGTCTGCTGCAGCAGTGTGTGTATCAGACCCATGTGACCCCCCACCCCACCCCCAGAGCCTTCTAAGCTTCCTGTTTGCTCTGCACTTTCTTGAGCCCTCATTCATACTCACTCACACTCACCCACATCTCTACCTGCTCAGGGACATTCCAGTCTCTCTCTCACCACTCAGGGGTCATGCCCTCTCCCTCTGCTCCGTCCTCCACCCATCCTCAGCCCCCAGGAAGTCACCTCACAGTGCGTGAACTTCTGCTTCCTGCTGCCACACTCGAGAGCAGCGATTCTCAACTCCTAACGCCACCACCCTTCAATACAGTTCCTCATGTGGTGGTGGCCCCAACCATAAAATTATTTTTGTTACTACTTCATAACTGTAATTTTGCTGCTGGTGTAAATATTTTTGGAGATAGAGGTTTTTTTGCAACTCACAGACTCACAGATTGAGAACCAGTGCTCTAGAGTGAGGCCCTCGGTGGAAGCCTCACACTCTCACTTTTCACCTTCTGTCCCTCCCTTGCAGGGACCACCGTTCCTGAACCCCTTTACTCCTGTGATCCTGCCTATCTTGAAAGTTTTCTTGTCTCTCCCTGAACTTTTCTCCAACCTTCACAAGCAATAAAACATAGTAACCCCCCCCCCGTGTGTGTGTGTGTGTGTGTGTGTGTGTGTGTGTGTGTGTGTATGTGTGTACATGATCATGTGTCAGAAAGGGTCTGACTCTCAGAGGCTTATACTCTAAGAAAACAGTCCAGAGAGCCGTGAGGAGGGGAGGAGCGCATGCCCTTGCTGTGCGCCTTTCCGTCCACCACCTGCTAGAAGCCAGGTGGCACCTGTGATGATTGCCTGTTCCACACTCAGCAGCCTGGTTTGGCGTCAGCCACTGAAGTGTGTTTAGGGGGCGGAGGTGGTGGCTTTGTTCCTTTCTCCCTATATGGAAACTGGGGCATCAGGGATGAAAGGGCACAAAGGTTATAAGTGGTACACAATTATCTGTTCCGCCTACATACCGTTGGTGGGGTCAGGTTTAACTGCAGCTGAGCACTGAATGTCTTGCAGGATTTGTTGACTTCCATTAACTCATAATTTTGCTTATTTTAAGTACATCAGCAGCCAGCAGCTGCACCTCAGCACAGTCCTCTGCGCAGTTTAAAAGGGGAAACATGCACTACATCTACCATGGCCCACCAGGCTGCGTCAGGGGCACAGCTTTCATCCCTTGTAAGCCGGTATTTCTGGAGCCGCATCGCTTTGCTGTGAGCTTCGCTAGCTCCGTGTTTGCAGGGCGTCGGTGGGAAAGCACATTTGAGGGATGCCCTCATGGAGTTACATATAATGCCATTTCTATCCGGGCTCTTGCCTCCCTGCTTTCCTTTCCACCTGTCTGTCTTCACAAACCTGAGCAGCAGCGGAATGGCATCCTGGTACTCAAAAGCAAGGGTTTTTATCATTGTCCACTATTACAGGGGTTTAATGTTTGCAATGAGTAACCTTCGCCTTAGAAAATGGTGGATGTTGTATTTGATTGCTGTAATGGTGCTAATCAGGATATTATTCAGGTGATACCTTGGGTCCCCAGGATGGAGAATAATGTCAGTGCCCACTGGCAGTCCCCTTCCAAGGCTGGCTCCTCTGGGAGACTTAGCATTGTCAGTGTGATCTGATCTACTAAACATACTCCCTAACTACACCCTGCCATGGATCCAGTAAACCATTCCTAGGAGTCAAGACAAGGGGCCAGGATGTACCGCCCTGAGCATGGAGCCGACAGAAGCTCTGGGCAGCTCTTGGCTCATGGCCCAGATAAAAAGAGGTCCTTTTGCTCCTCTGGTAGGTGCCAGCCTTCCTGGTCCAGCTCTCCAATGAAGAAGGCTTCTTCTCCCCAGGTGGATCTTTTGACACTGAGGAGCTGATCACTAGAGCTAACCTCACCCGGTGCCCTGAGAACAGTTCCTCTGCAACAAGCCTCCGTGTGGCCTCAGTGCAGACTAAGTTTCTTATGACTCACAGTCTTGGGGGAGAGCTGGTGAAAGGTATTTTTTAAATGGAAAGAGACTGCAGCAAGCCAGGTCAGCTTCAGAATGGCTACTAAGGGCCTGCTAGACTAGACAGTGATTCCGTCAACAAGTAGCGGACACATACACTGTGGTAACAGGAAATGTGGGCACAAGTGTCATTCTGTTGTCCCCTCCGTAGGAGAGTTCTCTGCCTCGGACAGCTCCCTCACCGACATCCAGGAGACCCGAAGGCAGCCTATCCCTGACCCTGGCCTGATGCCCCTGCCTGACACTGCCGCGGACTTGGACTGGTCAAACCTAGTAGATGCCGCCAAAGCCTATGAGGGTGAGTTTGCTGATGACTCACACAGGTCACCAGAGTCCTGAAGGCCAAGCCACATACCTGTGATCAGGTCTGACCAGTTTGCCACCCTGGGCACACTGACAAGTGTGCTTCACCTACAGAGCTGGAGCCCAGAGCTGGAGCTCATGGTTCTGATGCCTGGCTGGGAGCATTTTATTTACTCACAGGAACCCTGATGTTTCCTGTATATTCATAATGTAAATTTTCCGGAAATTCTTGATGTGACTCCTGCAGCTCGTGAGCCCTAGGATGCTCTGGTCTGGGGAAACTAGGAGCTAACCACAAGGCAGTGTGTGTTGACATAGCCTGTCTCCTGTCCCTTCTTCAGGAAAGACTGACTTTGGTCTAAGAGTATCCTTCCAAAATGGTTTGATGCCCAAGTGTTCTCTCTAAAGCTGTGGCAACAGACTCACTGCTCTTATAGGGAGAAATGATACTCTGGCCCCAGTGTAGACAGTGGCTTATGAGGCCGTGGAAGTCAGTAACAGCAACTGTGGAGAGCAGGTAGCCATCACTGCCTTCCTGGTTCTTTAGCTCTTGGGAACTCCCCGATTCTAACCTGGCTGGTCAGTTTGCTGACCAATCTCCATGTAAATGTTCAATTGGGCTATGTCTAAACAGTTGGTGAGGACATAGTGCTAAAGCCCACCAGAGTGGCCAGGCAGCTTGTGGAGAGTATCCTTCAAGAAGCCTAATTTTAGCTTAGCAGGGCATTTATATCTTTATCCTTGGTCTAGAATTTGGCACAAGGCATCTTTCTGGAGAAGCTACCACTAGAACGCTGCTTTGATGAGCAGAAACAGGGCTAGAAATGGATCCACAGCAACTGTCCTCTCAAGGGCACTTACAGTGTTACTGTCCCTTAAACTGAAAGAGCGTAGGCCCTCCGTGGGAGGGCAGACACTGGACCCAAGCCTACCTGTGTGCTGCTTAAACTTGAACGCTGGCTGACTTTGCAGATGGGCCCCTGCGGTGCGCCCCTGTACTTGATGCTCTCTTCCTTCTCTTCCAGTCCAGAGAGCCTCATTTTTTGCTGCTAGTGATGAAAACCATCGCCCCCTGAGTGCGGCCTCCAACAGCGACCAGCTAGAGGAGCAGGGCCTGGTCCAAATGAAGTCGTACAGCAGGTTGGTCACCCAGTGCTGAGGGCACGGCTCTGCACCATGCGTCACCCCCGGTAGTGGCAGATGTGACGAAGAGGAGATGGAAGGCCCATGGATGAGCCGAGCAAAGCTCGGCTGCAGTGCCAGACGCTTGGCTGTTTAGTTAGACCACTTTATACCTGGCTACTGTAAACACAATTAAACTGGCTTTGATGGCTTAAGGAGAAAATTACGAATATTCTTTATTATTTAATGTCACAGGTGACATGAGTCACCTGTGCCCCGGGAGCTTATCAGGTAAAGTAAGAAAAATCATTGGTCACAAATGCTCAGTCTCGGGAGTTCGTCTTTGAGTCTGGCTTTTGAGTTTTCTCAGTTGCCACTGTGGCCGTGTTGTGAATACGCGTGTCTGCTCAGCTTCAGCACCCTGCCTCAGCTCACCTGTGCTAGGAATCAGGACACTAGGCTGGCTGGGGCATTTGTAAGGTGAAACAAATCGGTAGTAAGTGAAGCTTGGAGAGCTGAGTCACGATAGTAGACTTCGAGGTTTACGCTGTATGGGAGCCGAATTTCCTGTTGCCCTGAGTTTCCCATGGCTGAGGTGCAGGCTGAGCATGGAGTTTTCCTTAGAGTTCCAGCGGCCATCTGTGGAGCACAGTGTGCTGCCGACCCCCCCTCCCCCGCTGAATAGTCAACAACTGGGAACTCCTGCCCTACATCCTCCCAGGGGTGGGGAGGAGCCAGGGTATCTAAAGCCAGGTGTGGCATAGCATGCCTGTAATTCCACACTCCGGAGGCTGAGGCAGCAGGATCTGGAGTTCAAGACCAGCCAGGCTGCATTTTTGAGACCCTGTCTCAATAAAACCAATGTACCTCACAGCTACATATGTATTCAGATACCTGTGAAATGTGAGAAGCCGGAAGTAATGAGGAACGTGAGGCTGGTGGAGCCACACTGCTGGAAGGGCCCCTGCTTCAGGGCTTCTGAGCATGTCTGAGGAGATGTGAGCTTAGCGTCCTGTTCATTATAGTGTAACAGAGAAATGCCACCATCCCCCCTTATCATTGGGACATCTAGGGTAAGCAGAGTGGCAGGCTGCTCAACACTGGGGAGAGAAAAAGAAAACCAGGTGAAGGACAGCACAGAACGGCTGCACTGGGGCATGCTCCGCACGGAGAAGCTTGAGGCAGGTGTTTCCGGGGAAGAGATCTTTATTACGGATCCTACGCTGAGGGGAAGACGGGCAGAGCAGGTGCAGGTGGAGCACACAGGCGTCGGCACCCTGTCAGCGCACTCAGGGCTCATCCTGAAGTGCCTGTGGGGACTTGTCAGGCTCCCGTGGGGCTTGTGGGCAGCACCCTGCGGGGCGTCACGAGAGGTCAGCGCGTCCCGGTACACAGTTCCTCTGCTCAGCATGTCTGTCCTTCCTCCCAGCCCAGAGCCGACCAGTGTGAGGTGCCACACTGAGGGCTGCAGCCAGCCACTTCCCTTTTATAGTCCCTTCACCGCCAGCTGTCGGTTGTTTTCTCTGGGGAGTTTGGAGATCGGTATCACTCATCAGTGGCCCATGTACACTGAGCCATGGACTTTGCTTTTGAAGCCTGCTGCAGATGTAAAATTAAGAGATCAGTAACACATTCCTCATAGGTCAGGAATTCCAAGTTGAACTTTGACTTTTGAACGACCTTTGAAGAATATTCTGTTCCCTGACTAAGACAACCAAGAGTTCCATCTCCAGCTCTGCAGAGTCCTCTGCATTTTCCCTACAGAAGACCACTTTCTGTTGTGTGAGTCTTAAGGTCACATGACTTGACTAGACCTTCCCCCAGGAAACTGTTGGCAGCTCGCATTCATGTAGAGGAAGAGGAGGAAGAAGAGCTGGCAGGCCCTCGGCATTGGGTTCTGGGGGTGGCAGCACCCAGCTGTGTGGTCCTCAAGTGCCGCCACACACTCTTGGTGCTCCGCTAGCCAGCATGATTAGCGGTCTAACCTAGCAGAGCTGCCTTCCTGATCCTAATGGAGTCTGAGATGCTAAGCATAGGTTGGCGGGCTTTGGAAACGTGCAGCCTCATGTCCCCAATAGTTAAAGCTATTTGGACTAGCTGAGATATGAGCACTGTATGTAGCTATAGTGGCCCGCATAGAGGCAGAGCCTTCTGCCTGCTCAAGACCTGCTCTGTGTTGGTGGCCCCAGTGCAGATTCTGCATTAGCCATATGCATGTACCACCACACACACACACACACACACACACACACACACACACACACACACACGGTTCTCCTTTGAAATCCCTGAGAGTAACTGCACTGTGTGACTATTGGATCTGCCAGCACACCTCCTGTGCTACCAAAGACCATTTCACTCACTGTCACTATCTCTTGTCATAAGATATAGTATCTTTAACAGAGGACGGACGCTCTTGATTGGCTGTCATTCAAACCTGTATTGTCTCTTGTTAAGATCACCGTTTTCTCTCTTTAAAGTAAAAAGTGTATATCAGGTTGCCATGATGAGTAATTTGATGTTGAAAAACATATTACAAAAAAGGGGGAAAAAAGCCAAACCAACAGCCATGGAGGCGCCTGCCAGCGTGGCCTTTTGTCTCTCCTTCCTAACAGTAAGGACTCCTCTCCCACTCTGGCTTCCAAAGTGGACCAGTTGGAAGGTATGCTGAAGATGCTTCGAGAGGATCTGAAGAAGGTAAATGTTCTTGGAACAGATTGCCCAGCTGTGGGAGAGAAGGACCCTTAGCTGGGGGAGCTAGGGACGCCGGGGAGACACACGTGAATGCTTCCCCGAACGGTGGGTGTAGGGGCAGCATAGACGTGGGTTCCGTTGACACACATGGCGTGAGAGGCCGTCGTCGTCGTCCTATGTGCAGAAAATTTGGTCCTTTTGTGGAAAGCCTTAAGCTTCATCCAGTCCTCTCTGGGACCTGTCCTGGGCTTCCAGCCCTTGTGGCGAATGTCGGTGGCACAGGCTCCCATGTAGTTCTTGCTGTTTGAATCTTCAGGCCAGGACAGCTGAAAATTGTGTTTCTTGACTGGCTTTGGCTTTATCAGTCACTAGGGTTCTAAAGCTCAGAGTGGCTGTAAAGTACACACTAATGCAATTGTGTGTGGAGCTAACCCTGCAGTGCTGAGCTTTCCGGGAGCCCCTGGGCTTGGACCTGGCCTGTGCGTGGGCGTTCAGTAGGCTGGGTGGTGGGAAGGGGCGGCCTAAAGGGAGTCAAAGCTGCTTCTCCTGAGAGCTGGGTGGGCTGGTGGGCACCCCTGGGTCACGTGTGTTTGGCTTTTCCTTCAGGAAAAGGAAGACAAGGCCCACCTCCAGGCAGAGGTTCAGCACCTGCGTGAAGACAACCTGCGGCTGCAGGAGGAATCCCAGAATGCCTCGGACAAGCTGAAGAAGTTCACAGAGTGGGTCTTCAACACCATAGACATGAGCTAGGGCGGCTGAGGGGAGAGGCGGGCCGGGCTGCCCCCTGCGGCCACCCGAGAGCACCCGTTCTCGCCTTGGAAAGCATTCTCAGAGTCCTCAGCTTCCCACCCCGCCCCTGTCGGACAGTGCACAACACAGCGGTTGCAGATCAACAGTCATAATCTGCCTTTTATAGAAAAGGAAAACAAAAAAAATTAAATAAAAATTTTAAAAAAGGAAAATAAAAGTTTAACTGCTAAAATGTGAATGTCTTTATTTTTTGCACAATATCTTTATCTGTGATGTATTTACAGAGAAACTGGGCCCAGACCCTCGTGCCCCAGCCCTCAGCCCTGCTTCCATCAGCTCGCTGATCTATTTCAGGTACCCCATGCTGCCCCTGCTCCCGACACATGTCTTGGTTCCTAGATAATAAAAGGTTTTTGGTTTTTTTTTTAAACTGTGTTTGGGACTGGGGAGGGGAGTTTCCTCGCCCCCTTCCCTAAAATGCCTGTGAGAGGGACTTTAAAGAAAGGCCCGCCGCCCGGTCTGTGAGGGCCTTCGCCCTCTGCACCTGTCTGCTGGAGAGCAGCAGGGCCAATGGCACTCTCCCTTCTGATTCTGTATCTGGTCCTCCTTTCCCCAGAAGAACAGCCCCCAGGGCACTCCTGAGAGCAAGGGCTCTTTGTTTGGCTCAAGTGAACCCCACTAAATTAGAATCGACCTCTTCCACCTTCCTGGCTCCTAACATTAATTGGCTTCTGAATTTTCCCAAATGAAAACCTGTATGCATTTTAAACACCTCATAAGTCGAAAGTCTCTCTCTCTCTCTCTCTCTCTCTATATATATATATATATATATATATAGTTTCTGTTTGAGATTTTTAAAGATGTAGCAAACTTTTTTTTAAGCTTGTTCAAAATGACTAACTGATAAAACTTTCTCGCCAAAGCAAGACTTCACCAGTGTTTGTAATCAGGAAACGCTAACATCAAATGTTGAACCGTGAGTCTAATCCCTGCTTGTTTGGAGCCATACCTGTAACGAAATGGCCTTTTGGAACCTGCATGTCGCAGTGTGGAGCATTTTCTGCATCCTTTTGAGGCCAGCCAAAGGGCTCTGCTGCAGAAATCGCTCCCGTGCTCTTTCTCCTGTCTAGCAATGCAGGCTGCGTCGGGCCCCTCACCCTCACTGCTGTAGAGCCCAGAGACACGGGGCTGGCCATTATCGACTGGCTATGCGCCGGAAGTTCCCACTGTGAAGTGGACCTAATGTGCCCTGAATTCCACCACTGGAAGACAGTATCCCAGTATCCCCTTATGACACAAACACATGCACGCCAGACCGTTATACTTTCACAAATGATTATGATTTCTCTGTGGGTTTTTTCCCCCTGTTAACATTTCTACTGTGGAATAGCAGGATTGGGAGGGCTCTGGAAAGATTACAGTTGACTGTCTCTCTGTCGTATGTAAAGGGGATTGTACATTGCCTGATGTCTCTGTAAATGAGAAATAACTGCTAACACCGGAGCATCCTGAAGTCTTGCTTATCTTTCTGAGTTTCCTTTTCATTTGGTTTTCCCTTTCCTTTGGGGACTTGGGGCAAGCTATTTATTAGAGTTTTGCAACGGAGTTCTTGTTTGAAGCCTCTAAAGACTACTTGTAAAATTAAAACAATAAAATTCATTTTAAATGCTCTTTTAAAATGGGTTGGTATTATTCCTCTGGGTGTTTTTACTTGAGAGACCACCCAGGAATTCCCTGGCCCTTGCTTCCTGAGTTTCTCTTCAAGCTCCATTAACTCTAAAGATGCTGGAATTTCTGTCCTTTCTGGGAGTTTAGCAAGCTTCTTTGCTCCCTGTTCACAGGTCCACAGAGAATCCCCACCCTTCCCCTCTGCGCATGGTTCTTTTCCAGAGCATTGTGTAATCAGTGCGTTTTCCATCACAACACCGTCATTCTCTGAGACCACGTTTTTTTTTTTTTTTTTTTTTAAAGCTGACTCCATTCTTCAATCCTCATTGTCAGATGTGTGCTCAGGGAATACAAATGCCTGTTAATATCAGACTGTACAAAATATAATTAGAAAAGTTACCCACTGGAGAAAATTGGTGCATCCTAGAGTCAAACAAAATCCGTCGCTCTGCCGTGCCTCTCCAGTGGCGGAGCTAATTTGAGAGCTGACAGTTTCTTCTGGTTGACTCAACAATTTCTACAAATTCCAGAATTGGAAACCTAGCATAATCAGAGTGGATACCACCGGACACTCCGACTGGCAAGCTGAAGGACCTGCTCCAGCACAGCTTGGGGTGTGGGGAGGCTTGAGCCTCAGGCTCCGAACAGCTTTTGCCTCACGTACGCAAAGCCCTGTGTTTCATCTTAAGCACTGCCCAGGGTAGTTTCGAGCACACTCAGGACGTGGAGGCCGAGGGATCAGAAGTTCAAGGTCAGTCTGGGATATTTAAGACTGGCATAAACAGAATAATAGAAACAGCTCGGCTTTGTGCCTTGCTGCTGTACTTAGGGGCCATTGGGCTTCTTCGATGGAAGAAATCTAGATAGGCCAGTTGGCTGGCCTCCAGACCTGTTGCGGGTGATGAGTGGGTGGGATTTCTCCATAGATGAGGATGAAGATGACAGTTCAGGAACAGGTGGTTGGCGGCATAGCCAGCCCTCAAGGCTCAAGCAGGAGGAGTAGATGTTTACAAACTGCAAGCTCAGCAGTGAGACCCTACAAGAGCATAAACAGTCCAAGGATGAAAGAAACAAGCCCATCTAACAAGCGCCTCGCTTTCCACTAAATGTAAGGGATTCGGGTCTTGGTAGGAGGTTACTGGGTCTGAACGGTTCTGCTCAGGGTGAAGAAGCCGTTTTAGATGCAAGATGGCACATCCCGGTAGAGGAACACAACCAGCAAATACCTGGGAACTGCAGCCAGAAGCTGCGTAATTAAAAGACAAGCGTTGCCACAGAACTCTTGGGGTACTTGCCCATAAACTCATTCTTCCTTCACTAATGGCTTGTCCAGGAGGAATCCTCCTGCTTTAATAAGAAGGTCACTTGGCTTAGACTGAGGCCCAAATCGCATCTCTTAAGAGAGCATGGACAGTCTCCGGGAAGTTACCTAAGTGCTGCTGAGCATCAGATGGAAACAGCCTCATTGCAAGGATCATGTGCCAGACTGTGGTCCTGTTGTTTTCCAGGAGGGAATCCTCACCTGTCAATAGCCTGGTACAATGGAAGAGCGTGCCAGGTGCTCTAATTCTCTGGGTCTGAGTACAGCGGTATCTCGCCTGGAGCTTGCCCCCTCATCACCTGGACGGTTGGTTAAAGTCACTTGGCAGCTTCCCAGGGGCAAGCAGGTTTAACAGCTGTGGCATGGATACATAATACTAAAATGTCCAGCAGGTTCCCAGGCCATTTTAGAAGAAACAGACATTAGATGCAGACACTTGTCTATGGCTTTTCTGGCCACATAGCACCTTACAAGGAGAAACTGCTTTAAACTATAGCTAGTGTTCGTGTGTTTGTTTGATTTTTAAGTCCCTCTTTCCCCCTTTTTACTATTATTTGGAGTTTACCTAGAATTTTCTACCACTTGACTCTTTGAAAGTCTGGTGCTCCCTAGCTGCAATGGAATTTCTTCACTACTTAATTACACGGAGGCCAGTTGCTAAATTAGCAAGGGTCATGACCCTGATGGCCTTGTGGGGGTGACAGTTCGGATGGTAGTGTCACTAAGAAAAACGGGACCCAGGGTGGCAGTTGAGCTTCTGAGCCAGGACCTCGGCAGATGGCTACAGGGAGGTATAGAAACTGAGTGAGTGGGTTCCAGGCAGGGAGCATGGAATTCAGGTAGGCCTCTTCTGACGTCATCCTGCTCTAATTACCCGGATCTCCAAGAGCACAGTTTCCCAGCGAGTTCCACAGCTGCCCTCGTACCTGGTCGACGTGTAGAAAGCTTTGCCCAAATGTTCACTCTGTACAACAGCCCGTTTCCTCTGCCTCTGGCCAGGGAGAAGACAGAGGAAGGGGTGGTTTATCCTCTGTATCCGCTACACAAAGTTTAGCTCAAAGACTTTACTCAGATGGTAATCATTGCCCACAGCCCTGGTCCTTTGTGGCTCTTCTCTGCATTGTCCTTCCCGGACCCGTCGGAGTATGCCCTTCCGGACCTACATCCTTTCACTTCAGACATTATCCATCTTGTCTTTGTGTGTCTGCATCAGCTCCCACCTTGCCCTTCTCTCGTTACCCTTCTCGTCCTGCCCTTTCCCACACTGCCCTCCAGCCCTGTGGACGCGCACCGCTCAGGTCTCCTTCCATCGCTTCCTCTCCGTGAGCATGTCTGCCCCTTCATTGCCTCTGCCGGCCTTCACGGCCCTGCCGCTAACTCACGGCCCAGCGCACCCTTCAGTGTGGACTCCTTGTGGCCCATGTTCAACCCCGGTGACCCCCACCCCCAAAGCTCTGGGCATCTGTAGATAAGCGTGCCCACGCATCCTCCCGGTGCGTCTGTGTTTCCTCCTCCTTACCAACGACTGTGTGTTAGCATATCCAGGCTCCCTAGTGCACACCTCCAGCCATGACTCTTCTAGGCATTTCCTAATTTAACGTCAGAGAAGGGAATTCCGCAGCGACTATCCCAATAAAATCAGACTCCCTTTGCAAACCTAAGTAGCTCAGGAGGGATGTGCCATAAGGACTCCCAGCTCATCACACACACATCCAAGGGCCCTTGCTGGCAAGAATAGATTTGACTCCATATTCCCTTGGATCTCACTAACCCAAGGAAGTTATTTCCTGTCCCAGGCCACCACAGGAAGCACAGGTGTGCACCTCTCCAGGCCTGAGCTCCTGGGAGTGAAGCCCTCTGAAAAAACACACATAAGAAGGAGGTTGTATTGCAGTTCAAATAGCAAACTAGACTCCACCAATAGTTGCCGAGAGGTGGTCACTTGCCTTCCTGAAGAGGTAGGATGGATTTGTAACTGACCTGGTAATTTTTTAAAGCGCTTACAAGTACTCGAAGTAAGAAGCTTAACCATTGCTTTGCAATCTCAGGCTACACACACGCTTACCTAATTATTTTTGCTGGTGCAAAGATAAACCCAGCGTTAGGCACATTTCATAATGAGGCTATGCCTAGGACGCATGTGCGGTAAACGAGACGACAGCAGCAGTAGGAGCTTGGCTGTTCGGACAGGCACTGAGGCTGGACTGTTTGGGGAAGGAGAGGGCGTGGGCGTAGGCTCTTTG